GCAACTACTGTCCGGCGAACGACAATAAGCAGTACCATGTAAAAAAAGGCGACGGGTACGGATCATTGAAACGACACTTAGAGAGGGCTCATTCGACAAAATTGGGAATTGACAAGGCACAGACGTAACTCCCTAGTAGTAGCGCTGCATCTGCCACGATTGGTACAGGTACGCCATCTTTATTTCAGTACTCACTTGAAAATCATCAACGTCATTTAGCTGAATTTGTTTCTGCTTCATCTCTTTCGTTTAGCTTTGGTGATAGTGATTTATATGAACATTTTGCTCAAATGGCTTTGAATCCGGCTGCCCACCAGGTTCCACGTACTACTCTTACTCGCGATATTCGAAAAATAGTGGCGGAAAAAAAAAAGTAATTTTGCAAGAAACTTTTAAATCTTTAAATCATAGAGTATCCATTTGTGCTGATATCTAGTCTGATCATTGGCAAAATAATTTCTATTTGGGAATTACTTGCCATTGGATAGATGAAAATTGGAGTTTACAAAAACGTTTAATTGCTTATGTTGCATTTCATGAACGACACACTGCTTCTAATATTGCTCGTTTAATTTCAAAAATTTTGGATAAATATCAAATAGGTAAAAAAGTGTTTTCCATTTCGTTTGATAATGCTACTGCAAATACTGCATCTATACGTGAACTTACCGATATTTGCACTCCAATTTGCGGCGGAAAATTTTTTCATATTCGTTGTATATGTCATGTCTTAAATCTCTGTGTACAAGCTGGTTATCATGCTTTTAAAGATTCGGTCACGCCAATTAGGGACGCTGTTAATTATTTACATAAACGTCCCCATGAAATGAAAGCATGGGGACGTTTTTGTAAAGATCAAGGGGTGAAACCTAAAAAATTTCAACCCGACGTTCCTAACCGGTGGAACTCAACATTTAAAATGTTGAGTGACACGGTTCCGTTTATGACACAATTGCAGGATATTTTTAACCATTCAAACCGTAAGGACTGTGATGTCCGAGTGTCAACAAGAGATTGGGAGAACTGTAATGCACTTATTCAATTTTTAGAAACATTTCAAAATGCCACTAACATGCTTTCTGGTGTATATTATCCTACTGCTCAGCTTGTGTTAGGTCAAGCTATAGCCATAATGTGGGCTTTGAAGGATCTTTACAACTTAAATTTTAATAAATATGGCTATTTAGTTGAGGAAATGTTAAAGAAATGGTTGAAATATTATTATTTCATTCCTGATACACATTTAGTTGCATGTTTGTTAGATCCTTCGGTACGTGAAGCTCGCTTGGTAGAGCAGCTTAACATGTATTATAATTATATGTATGAACTCCCAATCCCGACTGATGTCCCAACATACAGTCAAAAACCTAACGTACTGCTGCTCGTCGAGCAAGCAAAAAATTTGTTGTATGACATGTTTAAGGAAACAGCGATTGCACAAGGTGAACCTCCCAGCACATTCGTTCGTGGCGGCAGGGGCAGCAGCAGTGGGTCTTCTTCTTGCGGCGGTAGTCAAGTAGGCGCTTCGAACTTTCAGGAGTGGTGGGCATCATTAAATCCCTACAAGAATGTTGGCATTGAAAGGGCAAAGGGAACTGGATACTATGAGCTTGATCACTACCTAACGTCGAATTGATACTTACGATTGCTCGTGAACCAAGTCCGCCACTCAATTTCGATGTCTTGGACTGGTGGTCGAGAATGCAAGGTATTTATCCTATTCCTTGCTTGATGGCCAAGGAGATTTTCACCGTCCCAGCATCTACAGTTGCGGTCGAACAAGCCTTCAGCGAGGGAGGTTATATGCTCGACGCACGACGATCGCGGCTGACGCCCGAAAACCTACAAGCACAAATGCTGCTGATGGATTGGAAAAAAGCCGAACGAAGGATGCAAACAGCTATGTACGTAGATGACGAAGCAGACGACGACGATGACGCATCTGATTTTACGAGTACGACGAGTGGTGGAACCGGAATAGGAGATGACGAGTATGACTATTAGAGACCACCAATCGTGTACAGGTAAGTAAATCGAAAGAACTACGTGGACTTTGATTCCCAATATAAGGGATACGTAGACAACTTAATTGCCATTTATAAGTTAAAATATCATTTTTTTCCCAAAACAAAAAAAAAAGTTCAAGTCATATGATATTTTAACTTAATAAATGTCAATTAAGCTCAAGTCCAATTTTTTTTTTTATATTAATTTGAAAATATCTAAACGTGAAAAGAATTAATTTTCCTGTAGAAAAAATTGTTCAGAAATTGAGGCAATAATATCAATTAAAATAAGTTAAATTAGATCAATAGAAGGATGTTCTATAATGAAGACAATCGCAGTATCTTAACTTAACTTAACAAGAATTAATTTGCCTCTAGAAAACATTGTTCAGAAATCCAGACAATAATATCAATTATTCCAATAATGCCCCGTCCATAATCTCCGTTGTTGTATTCTAGACGTATTAGAGAGTGCGACGCAATATCAACAACGGAGATTGTGGGCGTGGCGTTATTGGCGTAATTGATGTTATTAGTCAATTTTTGGAATTTCTTGAGTTGTAACTTGTAAGTAAATTAACAAAAAGTACTTGGACTTTTTGACACACCACTAATACGTAGGCACATTAATCCTTCAATTAAAATATCAATTAAAATAAGTTAAATTACATCTTTCAGAAATCCAGACAATAATATCAATTATTCCAATAATGCCCCGTCCACAATCTCCGTTGTTGTATTCTAGACGTATTGGAGAGTGCGACGCAATATCAACAACGGAGATTGTGGGCGTGGCGTTATTGGCGTAATTGATGTTATTAGTCAATTTTTGGAATTTCTTGAGTTGTAACTTGTAAGTAAATTAACAAAAAGTACTTGGACTTTTTGACACATCACTAATACGTAGGCACATTAATCCTTCAGTTAAAATATCAATTAAAATAAGTTAAATTACATCAGTAGAAGGATGTTCTATAACGGAGACAATCGCAGTTGGCGTCGTTTACAGGGTTCTTACATGCTCAACAGTCTTCCAACATAGCAAGAAAGCTGCAGTCTTTTTCACACACCACTAAAAATAATTTGATACAATAATCCAATAGTTTTAGTGTGTGTGGAAAAGACTGTAGCTTTCTTGCTGTGTTGGATGATTGTTGAACATTTAAGAACCCCGTAACCGATGCCAACAGCAATTGTTTCCGTTATAAAACATCTTTCACAAATTTAAACAATAACATCAATTACATCGAGTATGCCACGTCCACATTCTCCCATTGTGGATCCTGGTTCTCACTCTCGCATACGTCTACAATATAACAGTTAGAGTTCTACGACACAGGCCGACATACAAATTCTTCAATACTTGAAGTTTGTTGAAGTTTGTTTGTGTATACTATCTCTATATTGTTGTATTGTAGGCGTATGAGAGAGTCAGAAACAGCATCCACAATGAGAGAATGTGTGCGTGGCTTAAACGGTTTAATTGATGTTATTGCTTTCAACTCTAATTGATAAGCTTTTCAAAATTCTTAGAACTGAAATCCACAATGAATCACGACCTTAAAAAACGAATGCCTAATATTGAAACTTAAAAGAACTACGTGGACTTTGATTCTCAATATAAAGGGTACGTAGGCACCTTAATTGACACAAATATAAGGGGACTTTGATTCGCAATCGTTTCCGTTATAAAACATCTTTCTCAAATACATATGTTAATTCAACAGTATCTTGAGTTTCATCAACGTCATCATGCAATCCGACTTCAATACACAATCTGGAGTAATATATCCGTTCTTTTTGTTAGTATCCTCAAGCATGTTACTTAATAGATATTGTCCAAGTTATCGTCTTTGCTGTGCAAGATGTTGATACTATTATCCCACAGTCCCATACGGGTACATACCTTTTCATCCATAACTGGTACTGTTGGATAATGCTATCAAATTAATGTTAAATGTTGATGACTCAACTACAACTTTACCATTACATTATTTTGCGTTCCTCTGCTCGACGTTAACTAAGAATTCAAAAGATAACTAAATATGTATAAACGTTCTGTTGTTTGTGCCATAGCAGGCGTAATCTAGCATTGACAGCATAATATGTAATGGAGAATATTGACCTGATATCATTGTCCTAAATGAAGTTAATGTTTTGAGTTCATCTTCTAAAGTTCAAATATTAACTCAAAAACATTAACAACAAAAGGGATTGTGATGTCACGTCAATATTCTTTATTATGTATTATGCTTTCAATTCTAAATTTCGTCTGCTATAGCACAAACAATAGAACGTTTATACATACTTAGTTATCTTTTGAATTCTTACTTAACGTCGAGCAAAGGAATGCAAAATAATGTAATGATAAAGTTGCAGTTGAGTCATCAACATTTAACATTAATTTGATAGCATTATCCAACAGTACAAGTAATGCGTGAAAAGGTATGTACCTTATGGAATTGTGGGATAATAGTATCAACATCTTGTACGCCAACGATGATAACTTGGAACAGCTTCCGTTAAGTAACATGCTTGAGGCCACTAACAAAAAGAACGGATATATTACTCGAGACTGTGTATTGGAGTCGGATTGCATGATGACGTTGATGAAAATCAAGATATTGTTTAACTAACATAGTAAAATTGAATTTGGCAACTCCTACGAAATAACACTATACCGCGGAACCGCCGATCAATCAAAACCGGTAATACATCTCAACATATTTTTTATTTACCAAAAAAAAAAAAAAAAAAAAATATAACCGGGAACCGTCGGAACCGGCCCGAACCGGTCGAAAACCGGCGGGTCGAAGAACCGGCGGGTCCCGGGCCCAAACCGGTCCCGGACCGTCACTTTTTTCGGTCCGGGTCCGGGCCTCGTCCATGAGGACCGTGGACCGGCCGGGCCGGGCCGGGCCGGGCCCGGACCCGGCACCTGGCCACGTCTAGTCCAACTGTGCATAGGAGTGAGAGAGCCGTTGCTTTTGTTACCACGCAACGAGACAAGAGCTGCTGAGTTCATGATGTCATCAGGCTGAAGAGATCTTGTATCATTATAATAAAATATTTGGAACTCATATCTGTACACCTGAAGAGAGTTTCGTCCTTTTTAAAGACAAAAAAAAATAATTAACATGGAGACCAACATCAACCAATTCATTATTTAAAGATAATAAAATTTCATATTGTTGTATGGCTACTTCCACGTGAAAGCTCTTGTAAAGAGACTTAATACTATTTTATGCTTTATAGATGATGGCGTGGATAAATATCATAAAGACATAAAAATTTCATTTAATGAAACTATAAAGATCACAAGAAATCTTATTTTAATTTATATTGATATTGATTGTTTTTTTCTTATAAGAAATCCGAATGCATAAGCTACTGAGTTGTCTTGAAACTGAGCACAAATAGATATTAGACAAGATGTCTAAAAATAATGCACACTAGCACCCATTATGAATAGCTAATGTGAAATTTGGGAATAAAAAAATAAGCTCACCTTACAATTAAACAAAAGTATTAATAGTGAAGCATTAATGGCATCTTATCCTATTTAAATTTCTGCTCAAATACTAAACGTGATAGCTGATAAAATTTTTGGCCCGAGATATCTGATAGAAATTGAGCTGAAAAATAAACGTAATGGTTGAATAATTTAAGGCTCCAAAAATTGGTCTCGGAAAAAATCTAATAAGTCGAAAAAATAATATCTACTGTACCGACTGTCACTTTACTAAAAAAATTCTAATATCTCGATTAAACTATGAATTTAATTTAAATAGACAAAATGCCTAAATAAATTAATTATTTCGAAATATTATTGACTTCGATTAATTCGACAATTTGGAATAATAAATTCCCGACTTATAAAGTCCATTTCTAAAATAAAATGACCGGAATTAATTAATAAACTGACTCGATTTCTGAAAATTTTAACCGAGAATACTTTTGACTTCAAGTCGTACTTATAACTGAATAACTGGGCTCGAAACGAGGAATAAGCATTATTAATATAAGTAAATTAGTTCAAAATCGAAAATAAAATATTTACTTTTATTAATAATTGAATGGGATGTTATTATGCAATGATTATTTTATTTGCTAAAACATCTATCTAGTATAACAAAAATATTAACTAAAATTGAAGAAAATTTTCAATATATAATCTAAGTTGAAGATTACAATTCACTCCCACGTGGGAGATGCTTTAAGGAATCCAATTGATTATGATTCTCTAGATAACCTTCTTGACTTAGGATAGGAATTAATTGGCATTCTATATTTTCGCTGAAAAGTTGAAGTTTAGTTGATCATGATTTGACTGTAATTAGCCTCTATTTAATAGTATTTTTTTTTTAACCCAACCTTGTACACGCATATATATATAACTACATATATCCCCCGGTAAGCTATCCCAGCTTCTATCCCCGATATATATCAATATCGATCCCTTCTTTCTGGGCACAAGAACCGTGGCTTCAGGATCAGCTAAGGGTTAACCTAACAAATCACTGAAGAGATTTCGCAAATTTCCATCATTTGATTTTGTTGAAGTCCTCCCGCAGCCATTGAATTGAACGCAAGAAGGCTCTGACGCAGGGATAATTGACCTCCCATTCTTCGAAGTCAGTTTTCCTGTGGAGTCTGACCATCAATAGAGTTTCTCACACTTTTATATTCAACCCCTGCGCCTTTCAACAAAAAAAATAATCAGCCATGTCGTTGGTGTTGGCAAGCGTTGGTCAGTTTTGGAAGCGCGCGATGGGATTCGTGCTCGGCCGGTGGCGTATAAACCCACCGTACTTTTTATCGGACATTTATACGGTTTTGCTAGTTGCTTCGTCTTGTCTGAAACACATCCCCATCTCCAACAAACTCCGATTGGTCTTTGATCCTCAAAGAATAGGACTTCCGTTAAAATATAAGAGATCAATAAAGAGGGAGGTCAAAAGACCCCACCCACACTATCCTGAAATCAGGCAAATGCGCCGATTGCTCGTGAAGCTTGTCCAGGCCCTAAGCGACGGCCTCAGGCTTCAGATCGATTCACGAGTTACAGTTAATTTTGTTGATATAGGAAGAGTTCTTACAGGTAATTTACATAAATAAATGCCTTGTATAATTAATTTACTTCTCGTCTCAAGGATTTTCTTTATAATTTGGAATAATATGACTAATTTCACTTGTCATGCGATGCTGCTTCTGGATAGCCTTAAGATTTTAGCTATAGTTAAATTTTTGTTAGTCAACATTACGAAATTGGCGATTATATCTTAATGTTTTAAGGGTCCCTCACAATCTTGTATCACTTTTATTTTTCCTAAACTTTAATAATAATAATAATAATAATAATAATAATAATAATAATAATAATGTTGGCAGGACGATGTGAAAGTGTTGTGGAACCAAGATATGGAAAGAAGGAAAGCCATGGTTGTGTTGATAAGCTTGGGAAACTTTGGGATATGAAATGTGATACTGAGCATTTAGAAGGACTGAATTGGGATTTGACGGTGTTTGAGTCGGAAGAACCCAACATGTATTATGTTGGTAATGGAAAGATTGTTATTCATACTCAGATACTGAATAGCTATACGGAAGAGGAATTGGTTGCATTTCTAGCACATGAGGTAAGTATATTATTCCAAAGTTCTAAAAATAGCTAGGTACTCGTTAGGCGGCTTGCTGAAACTTAGCGACTCATGCACCTAACTTACCAAATATATTTTAAAAATATACTAATTTGTATTATTACACATTTTTTTTTAAAAAAAATATTATGTACTTATAATACTGTAATAATTTTACATAATTATTATTTTCTTTTGTAATTATTGTAAATTAATGTATACAAATCAAATTATGTATATATACAATTTTTCGGGAGCATCTAGACCGCCTAGGCGTCGCCTAATTGTCCGAGCGCCTAGAAGGGAAGCATAGACGAAATCGGGGCCCCAGAGTCCTGCCTACCCGACCTTTAGTACAATGATATATATCAATATGGTTGATATGAGATGTTTGTAGATTAGACGTGAAAATTAACTTCATGAAAATTATAATGGTGAATGGAAATTAATATCTTCCCTTGGTTTTTATTTTTCCTATTTTTTTTTTTTTGTAGCATTTAAAAACAAAATTGCAACTCAAGTTAAAAGATTCCGTATAATCTTTACATAGAGTTTAATCATGGTTAGGTTGGGCATGGAGTGGCTATGCATCCTGAAGGGCACCCCTTTTTGCCTCTGTTGGCCTTAATTGGCCTAATCCCTTGTACTTCAGGCTTCTGGTGTTGTGCAATATTTGTGCGTTTATGCGACTTGCTGCTTTACTCCTGCAGAAGGTAAGAAAAGAATTATAGAACGAGTTGAATCTGATGAAGTTGGTGGCTTAGTTTGGCGAATACTAATTGTGATGTCTATTTGAAATGAACATGATAAATCATTACATTGTGAGTGGCTGGATAAGATAAAGAAGTCTTACTTAAAAAGTATTTCCTTATTAGAGGGGAGAGAGTCTAAACTTATAACTGGGAAGTACAGGGACCAAACCCTTTCAATCATTTAACACCCTTATAAATAGTGAAAATACTTGCACTTAAGCTACAAACTCCAGGTAAAATAACCAATATGATGTTTTTTTTTTTTCAATCGAATGTCGATAAGAGGCTAAAATTTAATTTTGGTCCTCTAAGTTGTCTATTATCCATTTTTGGTAAACCAACTTTCCCCTCATAAAAAATAGTACGTTATGTTGCAGTTTGTATCACTATAGGGACATTATCCCATTTTTTTTTTTTTTTGGATTAATGTTCTAAAACCTTTGTCTCACAAGATCTGTTGGAACAGCTTGAAGATACATATTGCAACATAACGTAATGTTTATATGAGTAATGTCCCAAAAATGATACAAATTGCAACATAACGTATTATTACTGATGAGTGAAAAGTTGGTGTACAAAAAATGGACAATGACCAACTTAGAGGACCAAAATTGGATTTTTGCCGTCGATAAGATAATAGCTAAACAGTAAAAGTTGTATGTTCCACATACAGTAATGCTAAGGAGCCAACATCTCATTGGTTGTTGGCTCCATAACGGAGCCAACAGTTGGCTCCTTAGCATTATTGGTTCCACATATACTTCTTAAATTAATAGTTATTATATTTTTATCCAGATATACTTATTTGATGACTTTTCTGCCTACGAAAAAAATAGTGTTATTTATGTTTAGTTGGCCAAAAGAATACACTCTTGATTTGTACACTCATCTATTTAGTTAGTTAGTCTCAGGTAGCTCATAATCCTATGTCTAATTTTGCATACTTTTTAATATTGCATAATATTATTTTATTAGATCAATAATGCATTGGAATTTACATGGTGCATTTGTATTGCTTAATATAAAAGTGCTGGTTCACTATATTATATACGTTGATGAGCAATCATCGGTTTCACTGGCTTCACTGTTTTGCAGGATGGAACTCGAAGCACATTACATTGGTCTAATGTTGATGGCCGCAGCTGGATACGATCCAAGACTTGTTCCGCACGTTCTCCAAAAATTACCTCACAACGATGATGATAAATATTACTTGGACACAACTCATCCTTCTGCCGGGCGAATAGTCGAGATGGTTAGCCAAGATACGGTGATGGATAGAGCACTCAAAATATACGAGCAAGTTCAGACTGGTCACGAGATTCCGAGTTTTATTGAACAAAGGAAAATAATTCCTTGCAGCCCCATTTTTAGCCCATCCTCAATTAAACAACTTTTTTTCCCCCACATGTAGATGGTAGCATAAAATTGACCAGGTGACCTGGAGTCCAACCTGGGTCAATCATCGGTTCTGGTGTTAAAACTATGCATTTTTATTGTCTTGTTGGGGGTTTTTATGTAATTTGACGATCACAATAATTTTGGTTTTCTCTATCACATTTTGTCATATTGTTTTGATTTGGTAGTGACGATATATTGATGTTAAACTTGCCAATGATTGTCTTTCCACATGAGTAAGGCTTTTAACGAACCAAACGTTCACAAACAAAAGTTCTTCCAAGCTTGGTTGTATTTGATAACTTGAACAAGTTCATTTGTTTGTTAATCGAGTAGACTTCGAAAAGAAATCATGCTCGGTTTTTAGTATATATTGTAATTGTAATTTTCAAAATTAATTTATGTAGAAGAAGTGATTAAATATCTGAACAATTCACAATTTTCAAATGTTTAAAGTATATAATAAATACTTCATAAATCTCCATGTTATATAAATATATATATTTTTATTTATATTAAAATTAATTTTAAATGTAACATAATTTTTATATATAAAGTCATACTGATCCTACCAATCAAGCCGGCTGGTGTTGATCGGTTCATTAGCAAATGTTTTATTGAAGCGAACTGAACCGATCTAAACAGGTTCCCGGTCCATCGAGTTGGAATGTCCGGTTCGGTCTAGTTTTTTGAAAAAATAGCTAAATTGTTAATGTTATTTATATATTTAATTTATAATATAATAAGATTAACTTTTATTATTTAATACTTCTTTGTCATGGTAATCTACTGATCTCACTTTCTTCCAGGCCGCCGAAGTCGAAGCCTGGTGGGAGCCTTCAACCGTGAAAGAAGCCTTCAACCGGGGCGTCAACAACCGACAGTTCGATTGGGGTTTAGCAAGCGATGTGTGCTTCACTCGACTCCGCTCGGCGTTCCGTATATTACTTATTTATCTCAATCTTTACTAATTAAATTAGATGTTGTAAGTTGCTAGGTTATTATTTTCATGCTGATAGTTTAGTTGCTTTTTGTTGCTAGGTTATTTCTTTCATCCCGCTAGGTTAGTTCTGTGTTGTTGTAAGGTTAGTTGTCTAATGCTGCTAGGTTAGTTGTCTGTTTGTAATATCCCTCTCAGTTATTAGTGATGTATCAGTTATTGTTCCAAGATTTAAGTGATTTCGAGGCCATGATGGTCAGTTATCGGTTCGAAATTGAGAGTTTTTCAAGGAACAAGCCACACGAGTCGTGTGGAATGAGCCACACGAGTCGTGTGAGGCCACACGAGTCGTGTGAGGCTACACGAGTCGTGTGAGGCCACACGAGTCGTGTGACAAGGCACACGAGTCGTGTGGGAGAAGGAGATGAAGAAAGTTAGCCTCGGCCTTTTCACACGAGTCGTGTGGAGCCACACGAGTCGTGTGACATAGCCACACGAGTCGTGTGACCGACAGTAAGGTCTGATTATTGAGAATCCGATTGCGATCTCAACCAGAGGCCATTTTTTATGATTAATTATGTTTTTGAGAAGTATACAAGTTAATCATTTAATAGTTTAAGATTAATTAAGTTTATAAGATTAAATTCTTTATTATGTTCATTTCTTCACTCAATCTTGATGTCTTGAATTTGTGCCTATAAATAGAGGCTTAAAATTCAGAGTTTTTACACCAAAGATAATTACCAAAAGTTATATAAGTTTGTAAGAGAGTGTAAGTGGGAGAAATTGTGAAGAAGTGAAGAAATTTGAAGTAAAGAAGCAAGTTTTAACTCTACCAAGAAGGAGGTAATTTACTTATCTTAAAGTTACATGCTTAAGTTCATGCTTTGATGATAAGTTTACATGTTTATGAGTATGTATATCATGATTTAGAAGTTAAAGTTTATAATTGATACAAAGAGTTAAAGTTGTTAAAGATCAATTATATGATATATGTACTTGATGTGATAAGATGTTGATTTGCATGAGATTTTCATAAAGTTGTGAATAAGCTGGAAAAGTATAATTTAAATAAGTAATTCTTATGTAAAAGAGGAGTACATGAGAACAAGAATTAAGTTATTTGGCATAGTATAACTTAAGTTATAGAGATTTGAAGATGAACATGTATGCTGAATTTTATGTTCAATGTTTTAGTTATGATTTCAAATTCTAATAACTTGATGTACATACATGCTAAAATTATGAAATTTTTATGACATGTCTAATTATGAGTTAAGATTACGACTGTTAAATTTCATGATTTGAAGATGAGAAATGAATGAATTAAGATGAAAAGATGGCATATATGTAAAGATGAGTATATATGCAAGAATATTCATGATATGTTCAAGTTGTTAAATTGAGATTTTTATGATCAATTCTCATATAAGTGATGAGCAATTTGACAAAGGTTTGGTTTAATATGTTGAGTATACAATTTTATAAAAATTGTATTAAGTATGACATATTAAGATCATGATTAAATGCTATGATTAAAAGATGAGTATGCTTGAGATTATTTTCACTTTCAAGTTATATAAGTAAAAAATGATTATAAGAAAATATGTAAGATTTGGAGAATATGATATATGATGAGTTAAGTAATTGATTGAGTAAAAGATCAAGAAAAGTTAATTTGAGAAAAAGTATGACTATTGAAATTTCTATAAGATTGGGATGAGTTATCCGAAAGAGTTAAGAAATCGAGCATCTTATTGAGTATATGAGCATAAGTACTTAGTATATTTTTTTATATATTTTTATGTAGCTTGAGGAGTTTGCTACTCGAGAACAACACTTACGATTTTTCAAAAGACGAAAGGTGGGGACCCAGACTGGGTATTACATTGAGTATAATATTGGTATCATGTCCGAGGTATGTAAAAGTTTAAGTTTATACGCTTGGGATGAGGAGGCATTAAGTTGTCTCAGAGTATATCCTAAGTTCTAATGGAGGCCGTTTGAGTTGCCTTGAGAAATATCCATTAGATTGTGCACAAGTATCCGATCAGATATCGACCAGCTGAAGTTTAAGTTACTGGAACAGTTTTAAGTCCAGTTATATACCGGAGATCGTGGTATTATTATTGTTGTTTACTTTAGTATGGGTGTTTTCGGGGTACAAGAGGATCAGTACTCACCTCCATTATGTTTTTCAGGTAACAGGGTCGGGCCGGAGGTGTGAGCTCGAGAAGTGGTGGTGGTGGTCGTGCATTTCATTAAGTGGACTTTTATGAAGTATTTGATAAGTTTGTATAATAAATTACGCTTTCAGTTATTTCCACTACGCACATTGATTATTGAACTTGCATTTTAAATAAATTTATGATTTCAAGTTTTTATCAATTCGAGAAGTATGAATATGGTATAATTAAATGCAAGTTTAAAGGAAATCTGTTTCTTTATGTCTAAAAGAAGTATTAGACAAAGTTTAAAGATAAACAGATTTTCAAGAAGATAAGGTTGAGTAGCATCCCGAGTTATTCGCAAAAGATTTCGAAAGAGTTATAAGTATTTTTGAAATAAAAGATGCGAAAAAGTTACTCTGATAAGCGGGGTGTTACACTGTTGTTGCTAGTTTATTTATTTCTTGCTGCTAGGTTATTACTTTCTTGCTGTTAGGTTAGTCGCTTTTTGTTGTTGGGTTATTTCTTTCTTTCCGCTAGGTTAGCTGTCCGATGTTGCTAGGTTAGTTGTTTATTGTTGCTAGGTTAGTTGTCTAATGCTGCTAGGTTAGTTTTTTGTAGTTGCTACGTTAGTTGTATGTTGTTGCTAGCTTAGTTGTGTAATGTTGCTAGGTTAGTTTTTTATTATTGCTATGTTATTTGTCTGTTGTTGCTAGGTTAGATCAATACAGTTGCAAGGTTAGTTGTATGTACATGCTATGTTTTCTGAAATAATACTATGCAATAACAAGACATCAAATTTCTATTTATTACAAGCAGAAATGTCACTGGTCTTATTACAAGTTCTACTATTATGATTTCCCACTTCTCCACAATTTCCACAACGTCTTTTCAGCTTTTGACTTTCTTTGATAGATTTTTCTCGTTGTGACAAAAATTGGCTTTTTGTGCTGCTTCCGGTCCCCTTATTTTTTGCTTGCTTTGGTGGCAGGATATCAACCTCAAGATTCGAAACGGATCCACAGAACTCTTGTATCACAGCTCCTTTACTTAGTATTGAACTTGAAACTTGATGTGCACCCAACAAATGGTTCTTTTCTGCATTTATAATCCCCGATAATCATTCCAATTTATCATCATTACCTTCAGCAAGACTTATACAATAATAAAAATCAGACCATAGATTGTTTAGATATGCATTTCTCTGAGTTTCGCCATCAAGTGGATTTAATCTTGCATTATCAATACTATGTTCAGAAGAAGCAACCTTAAGCCAACGGTTGAGGAGGTATTTCTCTGGTATTCTTTCTAAATCCTTGATTAGCATTATTGCATGACGACATAACAATACAAACTGTTGAAACTTTTTGCAGCTGCAATCTACCCAATCCCGGGACTTATTAACAATGAAGTCAACACCATCTCGGCCAACTTCTACAACCTTATATCTGGTTGTTTCATGCTCATTTTCAATATGCACAGGCACACATCTGAAACATGGTGCTTCAATCTCCATTTGCACCTCTGAAAACATTGTTTTTGTGTGAACTTTTGCAGCATGTTTTTCAATTTGTAACGGTGTCTTGCACTCAGGAGGTGCAGTCACACATTCATGATTCAGCTTCCTTATAACATGCCTTTGTGAATCCATTGCACTTTCAAAATGCATAAAGAACTCAACTAAGTTTGCTTGAGGAGATATGTAACTTCCGAACCAACTATTAACACTCTCAGACCTAGAAGTTGTTTTCAGTAGGCCACCCATTTTGACATCCTTAAAGTATGCTGGTATCCAAGATTTTCTAATCTGAAATAGATTGTTAAACCACTGATTCTCTGTTAAGGCAAAATCATTCATCAATTTTCTCCACTTTTCTTCAAATTCATCAAGATTTATGTAAATATCCCACACAATTTCATTCAGCCTTTTGATGAAGTTATTATCCTTGGCTAATGTAGGACCGACCTTTACATTTACCTTTTCCATGATATGCCACATGCACAAACGATGTTTTGCCTGTTTGAAAGTCGCCTGAATTGCATTCTTCATAGCAGGATCTTGGTCAGTAACAATGTAATTTGGTTCATTTTCCATAGATTTCAAAAAATTTTCCAATAACCAAATGTATAATTTCACATCCTCTTTAACCATCAATCCAGCTCCAAATGTGACACACTTTTTATGGTTATCAATTCCTGTAAATGGTACAAACACCATTTTGTACCTATTTAAAGATAGAAAGCAAATCAGAATAATAAATGAAATTTTTAAGTAGCATATTACTTGCAAGGTTAGTTCTATGTAGTTGCTAGGTTAGTTGTCATTTATTGCTAGGATAGTTGTCTGTTGTTGCTAGGGTAGTTATATATCTCTGCCAGGTTAGTTTTATCATGTTGCAATGTTAGTTGTATGTTTGTTGTCAGGTAGTTGTCTGTTGGTGCTAGGTTAGCTGTCTGTAGCTGCTAGGATAGTTATCTGTATCGGCTAGGTTAGTTGTCTTTTATTGCTAGGATAGTTGTCTGCTGTTGCTAGGATAGTTATATATCTCTGCTAGGTTAGTTTTATCATGTTACAATGTTAGTTGTATGTTTGTTGCCAGGTTAGTTGTCTATTGGTGCTAGGTTAGCTGTCTGTAGCTGCTAGGATAGTTATCTGCATCTGCTATTGTAGTTTTATCATGTTGCAATGACAGTTGTATGTTGTTGCTAGGTTAGTTGTTTGATGATGCTAGGTTAGTTCTCTACTCTAGCTAGGTTAGTTTTCATATGTTGCTAGGTTAGTTATATCTAGTTGTAAAGTCAGTTTAATTCACATGCTACTAGAAAACATGCATTACATATAAATTAGAGTCAAGTCAAGGGA